GCTACTACATTCTGAAGGAAACCTAGTATCATTAAAATCTCCTACAATGAGCCATGGTTTATTATGAGTTCTTACGAAATATTTTAGCTCTCTCCATATATCATGTCTTTTAAGAGGGCCCAGGCTTGCATAAACTGCAATAAAGTATCAAGAAATTGCTCCCACTCGAGTTATCTCCATCGAAATATGTTGATGGTGTTTAATGATAGGACTTATGGAAACGCTCTCCGGCTTCCAATACACCCAAATCCCACCACTAAAATCCACTGCATCCACCCTTGTGTGGCCACTGTATCCCAAAATTGAAGAGATTTTCATTGCTTGCTCGCCCCCTATATGTGTTTCCACAAGAGTCAAAACATCCGAGTTGTTGGTACGAACCAAATCTTTCAGAGTTGTAACAAAGTTCCTGTCACCCGCACCTTGGACATTCCACACTGAACAAGTGATTGGTAAAGTATCCGGGGCAAGATTAGGTAGACTATCTTCCATAGAAACAGGGATTGAGGGTAAAGAAGACATATAGGCTAGCCTGATTAGCTTCAGCAAACGCTGAATTTCATTGGGAATTTGCAACGTTACCACCAATTCCGGAGGCGTCGAGATTGGTGGTAGCAATGAGTCCATGTTCACTTATAACACATGTGTCAGGGGGTTCGTGATTGCGAGATAAGGGTCCTCCATAACTTGCCCCACACAAAGTGTTTTCTCCAGAGGGATGTGCAATTTGATCGGAATCGGTTGCTGGGACATAGGTCTCATGGTATGCTTGTGTAGGACTCTCAACTACTTTTTCAGTAGTGGCATAAACGGGCACAAAGATGGCTTGTGTTTTGTCCTTTTGAGAGGCTTCTTTGTTGGCTTCTAAGATAAAGATTGAGTTTTCTTTTCCCTAGCTAGGTGCAACATGTGTTAGGCTTGGAGTACGGGCCTCATTGCCTGAAATTTCCTTAAGTGGCTTAGAGATATTTTGTGTGGGATTATTTGATTTTAATTGATAAGATTTGGTGGCTTTAGATTTGCTTTGGTTAGGATTTATCTTATTTACCTTAATGGTAGATAAAATTTCTCCATTGGCTTTGAATTTTTGAGATATATCACCAAGATTGATAGTGTCAAAGATATTTCCCTCACTTGCTGGCAAAGAATCTTCCATTCCCTCCAAATCTTTATCATTTTCCTTATTTTTCTCAACTTCCCCAACTTCATGATTTTCTAAAATAGAAAATTTGGATCCATCCCCTTCTTTTGCGCCTTCAATTGATTTATTTTGGGTTTTTCCTAAACCAACATTGCCTCGGTTTGACTCATACTCAACTCGAGTCACCACCGTCTCACCACCAATTACGGTTTTTCCAGCTTCTCCCCGAGCTCCTTTTTCTGGACGAGGATTTCTTTTACGGATAGGTTTTTTCACCAGCATCCATGATCCAAATACTTTTACTTTTTCTGGTTTATTCTCATGATTATGCAACAGATTATTGTGGATCACCATTTGAGTATCCATAGTCTACATTAACTGGCTTACAATCATCCTCGACATGACCTAATTTTCCACATTTGAAGCACACCATTCTAATTCCTTCGTATTGCATTCTCCAAACTCTTCCCTTAAGCCAGAATTTTGAGAGTAATGGCTTTGATAAACCAATTTCCACACTTAATCTTGTGAATTGGCCTCTTTCCGCTTGAGCTGTAGTCTTATCAACCCTTGGCACCTTCCCTATTTTTGAACCAATTTTTTTTAAGAAATTGATATCAAAGTATTCAACTGGAAGATTTGGAATTCGAACCCACACAATAAGAACTTTAATAGGGGATTCATCCGGGACAAAGTTCGGAATCCATTTTCTAATTGTTTGGTTATTATCATCTAACAACCATGGTCCTTGAGCTAACACATAATTGTAATCCGCCTGGTTCGTGAATCTTGCAATGTAGTATTTACACCCTATATCAGTAAGGGATAATTCCCCTTTCACATTCCATTTCTTCTTCAATCTGCGCATTAGCCCCATGTACCCCAGTCTACCACTAAACATTTTGATGATTAGAAAGGTTTTCCAAGGTTAACGCAACCTCTTTTTCTCTTCTTTTGAAAGTTGAATAACAAGGCACCTGTCATCCTTCAGCACTTCCTCTAGAATTTCCTCATCATCAGAAATATCCTCATCAAGGATTTCTAGCACTTGGTTAGGGGTAGAATTGTACGCATTTCCTCTTAGCATATCTCTAAATGAATTCCTCAAACCCTCATTTGGAAGATGTTGTTCCTTGTTTTGCCCTTCAGTTTTTTCATTTTCCCCTGCATCTGCTTCTTCCATAGTTTCATCAACCTTGGATCCCTTATCGAAAATTAGATGAGTAATCTTTCTTTTAGGTTTTTTATTTGATCGAATCAGTTGATCTCGTTCTTCCGACGATTTGGAATTTTCGCCAGAGAGCTGCAGAGCGTTTTCCATAGTTTCTTTCTTAGACATCTAATTGAATATCCTTGAGATAATGCTTAATTCTATTGTATTTAATTTCATTGTTTGATCTTCTAACGAGGATTGAAGATCTAGGATTTCATAATCTCCGTAAGTATCTAGAGAACCGCATGAGTATTTTCAGCCAACGACCATGCATCAGTGGATTTCAAGCCTAGTACTAACTCACATATTGTATTGTTTCGAATGAAGTTTTTTATTAAGATGATTGTTGATCGAACTTGCAATGTAATTAGTTCTAAGATGTTATAGATGTTATATACTTATTATTTTGGAATTTTAGATTTCTTAGGAATTTGTTTGTAAGTGTCATTTGTCTATCTTTTATTAATGACATACATCTTTTTTCTTCCTGTCTAAACCCCCATTGATCTCAATTCAAATTTAACATCAAAGTCTTAACCACTACATTATGTCATGTTTCATGTTAACCTATAAAATACGAATGACTAGTCATACATCATACCAATTTTAGTCAAATTTGTGCATTGTCATGTCTGTCACAAGTATTCAAGAACAAAGTATTAATTTAAACTATTCCCTTCATTTTTTTAAAGCGTTGAAGTGTTACACTTTCCTTTTGCGGTCGATTTATTTTTAAGTATTACACACTTCCTTTTTTTGGCAACTTACTCCATTTAAATATTATACCTCTCTTCTCATGGTCCCCATTCAAGCTCACCATTACTTTTTTTTTTTTATCATTTCTTTCCCTCTCACATTCCTTACTTTTTAATAAAATATTAACCCTACTATCTTCTTTTATAATTTTTTAATACCCCAAGCACTCTCCTTACATTTTTTTTTATATTCAAGTTAATTAATTTGCCTAAAACTATATGTGTCAGTCAAAGCGTAACACTTAAAAAAAAAATTTATTATGGAGTACCTTTTACAATATTCGAATACCTAAAATATCCGAAAAATAGATATTCGATAGAGCTAATCAAGTATGGCCCGGCCCGATTTTGGGCGGGTTTTAGGCACAATTTTTCGGCCTAAAATCGGGTTGGGCCCGGTCCGGCCCGAATTTTTTTTTGACGGGTTTAGGAATGTGTTTTATGCATATTTAGTTGATTTTTTAGGGCGGGCCCGAAAAGCCCGCATGGCCCGACCATTTTGGGTGGGTTTGGGCACAAAGAATCCGGCCCGAGAAATGGGCATAATTTTTTAGCTCCGGCCCTCCCAATGATCACCTCTAATATTTAATCCAGAAAAAATAGATACCCAATCTAGTTTTTTATTGTTGAATATTTAGTATCTGTCAGATTTACCGGTCTCAAGGGAGAAATAAGGGATAGAAACTCAGAAGCCTAATACTAGAGCCTAAAGCGAGGTTGAACAAAACTTATTAAAAGTATGATAAAAATCTCACAAAATTCATTATACTCAATGTCGAAAAAAAACCTAGCAAGATGATACTGTGAAAATATTTGTTGCGTTCGGTACATGGGTGCGTTGCAAATAGTGTGCTGCTAATGACCAATTTTCCACTAATTAATTATCATTTATCAAGATGAACAAAAAATGTCCTTGGGTGCACCATGCACCCGTACACCCGAGTGTGTATAATAATATCTCATGATACTGAGAAAATATAATAGCATGATGTCGATTTTCTCTTGAGAGAATTAAACCTTGAAGAGTGAGTAGCACTAATACCAACTAGGTCTATTGTAATATTTTGGTTTTTAGAGAGACATAAGAACTGGTGATGAAAATCAATCTTAAAATCTCCTGAAATTAGAAGGGAAGCTCTAACCGCTTGAGCTATCCCTCGCTCTCTCACCAAAGAAATAAAAATAAGAGAAATGGAGGGAGGCAATAGTGAAAAAGGGGGGAAATTAAGTCTCATTAAAAGTCACTTCCACGGGAGTCGATGCCGGCAAGTTTGGCCAACCACCAGAATCCGACATATGATATGTTTTAACAACAATTTTTTTTTTTTAATAAGTTACAAAAAGAGCATTTTATTAGGTAATTTCTCGCAAATTTTCCAATATAAAAAAAAAATTGTATAAAGTTGATATATCTTTGATTAGCAATAAGCGTAAATTATATAAAGTTGATATTTGAAAACTACTATAGTATATATACAACAAATACTTGTACAAATATATTTAATCTTGCATATAGAGCATAAATATTGATCAAAATGTACATAATAATACTACCTCCGTTAAATATTAATTGCAACTTTTGAATATTTTATATTTTACAAATAATAGCCCAAAATTACAACTAATACTTAACACAGGTAGTACAAAAGTCAATTGAGGCAGTAAAAAAAACACGGGGAATACAGTGAGCACAAAAGAGAGATATTTGCATTCCTGGTGGACATCCATCCTCAAAATTATGCATGGGGTACATACTGATACACATAATCCCAAACTACCAACTAAGCCAAGTGTTAGGCTTTTAGACATACACGTGCATACCCTTATCTCACTGTCCAACCTTCTAAATTCCCACAGCCAATAGGACCTCTTTATTCTGAATTTCTGATTATTATTATTACCCAAAAAAAAAAAAAAAAAAAAAAAAAGGAAAGAAAGAAAACAGATTTTTGCAAGAATCATCTTTCTTTGTCTTTAGAAATATGCAGCAACTATGAATGTTATAACAAAATTTTGAGGCACAACCCAAAAAGAACAAAAAAAACCCAGATGACAATATACACGACTGAACTATTCCCTAATTGCCTTCCCTATATTACAGAGCTCAGAGTACCTTCTTTGCATTCATATCATCATAATTGTCCAATTACCTGCAAAAAGAGCATTCCAAATGAGATTTACTACAGAAATTTACCAAAAATCCAAGCATATTCTGTCGAAACTCGACCGACATTTTCACAACCATTTGATCTAAAAGAGACACAGTTGCTAAAATCGATCAAGAAGTCGTATAAAGCAGGAAACTATAATGAGGCTTTCTATTTCCTTCAGAGCATGGTGAGCAGGGGTTACCAGCCTGATTTAGTCCTCAGTACAAAGCTGATTAAAGGGTTTTTCAACAGCAAAGAGGTTGAGAAAGCAATAGAGGTGATGAATATATTGGAATCGAAAGGCAAGCCGGATTTATTTGCATATAATGCTATGATCAGTGGTTTCTGCAAGGTAAATAGAATTGAAGATGCTAATAACCTGCTTAATAGAATGAAGGCTAAAGGATATTCTCCTGATATAGTCACTTACAATATCATGATAGGTAGTCTTTGTAGCAGGGGGAAGCTTGATTTGGCCTCGAGAGTTTTGGAAAAGTTATTGAAAGATGATTGTCAACCAACTGTTGTTACCTACACTATATTGATAGAAGCTACTCTTAATGAAGGCGGGACTGATGAAGCAATGAAGGTATTCAATGATATGCTAGCAAGAGGGCTTGTGCCCGACGTGTATGTCTACAACACCATGATTAGAGGGATGTGCAAAGAAGGGTCAGTGGATCAAGCATTTGCTTTTATTCGGAACTTACCCTCCCAAGGTTCTCATCCAGATGTAATCTCATACAACGTCCTGTTACGGTCGTTACTAGACCGAGGGAAATGGGAACAAGGGGAGCAATTGGTGAGAGAGATGCTATCTCGAGGATCTGAGCCTAATGTTGTCACTTATAGCATACTGATTGGTGCATTATGTCGTGCGAGCAAGGTGGAGGAGGCTTTAACAATGCTGAAGGTAATGATGGAAAAAGGCCTAAAACCTGATAACTATAGCTATGATCCTCTGATTTCAACATTTTGTAAAGAGGGGAAATTGGATTTGGCAATTGGAGTTTTAGATCTCATGATTTCTAATGGCTGCTTGCCGGATATTGTCAATTATAACACTGTTTTGGCAGCTCTGTGCAAGAATGGGAAGGCTGATCTAGCTCTAGAGATTTTTGATAAGCTTAGTGAGGTGGGTTGTGATCCAGACGCAAGCTCCTACAACTGTTTGATAAGTGCATTATGGAATGTCGGGGATAGAACAAGGGCTATGAAAGTGGTAGAAGATATGTTTAAGAATGGGGTTGATCCTGATGAGATTACTTACAATGCCCTTCTATCCTGTCTTTGCAGAGATGGGATGGTCGATGAGGCTATGAAATTACTAAGGGACATGGAGAACTTTGGTACTAAACCAACAGTTATTAGCTACAATATGGTCCTACTTGGCCTTTGCAAAGAACGCAGGCTGACAGATGCAGTTGAATTGTTGGGACGGATGGTTGAAAAGGGTTGTCAGCCAAATGAAACAACTTATATTTTGTTGATTGAAGGGGTAGGATTCGCTGGGTGGCGTGACGAGGCTATGGAATTGGCAAACACCCTAATGGAAATGAATGCACTTTCCGCTGAGTCTTTCAAACGCTTGAGTAAGGCCTTCCCTGTTCTTTCTACACAGAAAGAACTTGCAGCCTCTGGAATATGAATAAATATGAAAATATTCCAACAACAAAAGAGATCTGTAATATTATGTCAATATTAACTATATAAGACACTGTATATAAAAATCTGTTCTGGAAAGACCAAAATTCCATACATGTTTAATGATGGCAGCTAGAAGTTTGCCATTATGCTGTCATTTATCAGAGCTATTTCAGCAAAAGTGTAAATATTTCACTTTCTACTAATACCACATGTACTGCCCTGTAAATTTTGTTTTAAAATTTGAAGCCACATGTATAAGTGTATTTGATTTCTTATTCATGCAGATTAAAAATGTACAACTTTAAAGTAGTCTTAAGCTGCTCACTAGATTAGAGACAACACAAGGTCTATATGGTTTCTTGCTCAAGCTAATTGTCAAGGTAGTAGTAAAAGAAACGGACAGTATTTCAAAATCCAATACAAGATGTACAAGTCTATATGTTTTCATAGTCATTATTTTTCAATTGTTTATATACAATGTCCTATAATGAAGTATGTGCACTTGTATAGGAATAGAAATGTAGCAGCTTTAAAGTAGTACTAGCCAAGTAGATCTTAGAGTTTCCAAGCTAGATAATCTCAAACTTGGGCAGCATTTATATATTACCCTTTCTACCCAAGCAAAGCTGATCCAAATTCAGCCCCATGTTTAAGAAATATTAGTGACAAGAAAGGTACGGACTAGGAGACGTACGCTGTCAAGAGTTCCACCTACTAGGGGCCAGGTCAAGGCAAAAAGTAAATGAGTACCAGAAATCCCTAACAAAGATCACATTGTCAGTAAGTTGTAGTCATGTAGATATGCCTAATCCTAATTGATGATTAGAATGCAAATGGCACTTGTTTTCCTCTTATTTTTTTCTCTTTCCATGGCATACAGAAAAAGGATTATAGTAGCACTGTATCAATAAACTTAAACTCCTTATCCTCCAAGTTATTTTGCTCATCTTCTTAAACATAATTTACAGAATGATTTCGGAATATGCAGGAAATATGTTTTGCACCTAACAAAAAATAAACTTTGCAATAAAATAAGCCATAGACCCATTAGCAGCAAATGTTTATTAGATAAACATCAATGTTTTGCATATTGTAACAGAAAGGAAGTTGAGTGAGAAATAAAATTGAAATGCCCAACTTACAAAAATTAGCCGCATGAAGATTGCCCGGAATCCTTTTGATGGCACAAGTTCAAGATCGCTTTATACTCGGTCTCGAACCAGGAGATATAAGATAAAAAGATGCTCAACTGGCACCAAAATCAAGGAATTAGACAAAGCCGAAATGAAATGATTGATTATTTCTAGGGTCCAACATTATGAAATGACAGACATTCAGACAAACAGATAAGTGAAAGCCAGCCATGAGTAGACCACATTGTCAGTCAAAGTTCCTCTCCATTACAAAGAAGCTTTATCACATGGAACGACTGGCTCTAAAAAGCAATGACAGAAAATGCAGTGATGAACCAAATGTAGCTAAAGCTATGTATTTCACAGCATATACCAGTCCAAAAATAATATCACACATTAAATCATGCTCCTTTAGGGAGTTGTCACACTTATCGGCATCATATCATAGCCAAGGAAAAAAATAAACTTAGGCAAAGACACCCATGCTCATATGCATCATAGGATTAAGGGAAGGAAAAGGGAAACAGACAAACAGAAAGCTGAAAGCAGATAATCATAAGCAGACAATATAGTAAGTCAAAGTTCTTAACTTTCTCTCCACTATGTCTTTCGCATAAAGCTCTATTTCATGGAGTAAAAGGCTCTAAAGAGACATGAAAGAAAGTGCATTTGTCAACAAATGAATTTGAAGTTGCTTCCACAACATATGACAGTCTAGTTTATCAATACATCAGACAATGCTTCCTTTGGGATGTTACCAGCATCATGGGCTCATAGCATAGCCAAGAATAAACCAATCGAAGAAAAAACACTCATGCTTACATACATCATAAAGTATAAATTAATTAAATATCATGTGCCTTCATAAAAGCAGCGAGATTTTTACATGGAAATCCCAAATAGCAAAAGACAATGACCATGGAAGATAATCCTACATAAGGCAAAGATAATTCCAGATAGTATAAGCAACATGAACTTTGTGTGCTTCTTTTTGCCTTGATCAAGTCAATATTCAGTTTTATAATCTTTTTTGGTAGAAGGAAGTGTTCAAGTACTTTATTTAAAAAAAAAAAAAAAAAATAAAAAATAAAAAAAAAATAAAAAAAAAAACATAAAGAGAATATGATGCAGAAGGGGTCATACTCAGAATGTTGAAGAAGTCAAAATTTGCCTTTCAATTCAGCTTTACACCTTCTCTTAGAATTCCCCATTCAACTAGCTTAGAAGACAGTTCATGTGCTTCTTCAATCATACCATAAGCAGCTACTCCTCTAATTAAATTGGTGTAAACAGTTTCATCTGGCTTGATCTGGTTGGAGATCATGATTTCTAGAGCTTGTATAGCAATATCCAGCTTCTCATTTCTGCACAACTCCGGAATAATAAACCTGTAAAACCTGTTTTGAATCTTGTGGTTTCTTCTATTCATCTCCCTTAATACCTCCATACACTCATCGTGTTTATCTGCCCGGCAAAAGCCCCAGACTAGACAACGATGAGTTATATCATCTGGAACAATTCCCTTATCGGTCATTTCATTATACACCTGCATTGCTTTCTCCATAGAACCCTTCTTAGCCAAACCATCCATGACAATGTTATAAGTAATCAAGCCAGGAGAGCAATTTCTATCACTTAAAAGCCTAATAATGCAAAGAGCCTCATCCAACATTCCTTCTTTGCAGATGGCTGCTAATAGGGTATTGTATGTGATTATATCTGGGGAAAGGTTTTTGCTAACCATTTGATCAAGAAAATCTATGGCACGATCCAGGAGCCCATGCTTACACAAACCATTGATTAAGATATTATATGTAACAACTCTTGGATGATGAGAAGTTTGATTCATGATTGACAAAATGTCATCCGCTTCAGCCCAATGACCATGGCTACATATAGCATGAAGTACAGTGTTGTAAGTCACAGAATTTGGCTCCAAACCATGAGAACCTAGACTATGCATCACCAAAGCCATTTCTTTGAAATTTCCTTTTTTACTACTAGAGTTTATCAGTGAATTGTAGGTAACTAGATCAGGATAACAGCCTTCAACAGCAAAATCATTCAACACCCCAAGAGCTCTTACTAACCCACAATGTTGCATAACTAAATCTAGCAAGATTGTATATGTGATAGTATAAGGAGGACATCCCTTTCTAAGTTGGTCCTTCCAAAATGAAATAGCCTGATCAAACTTGCCCCTATTAAAGAAACTCCTGATGATTGTGTTATATGTGATTGCATCTGGTAAGCAGCCACTTAAGCTCATATCTTCCAAGTATTCAATGGCAGAGTTCAAATCCCCACGCTTGCACAATCCCCCAATCAACATGTTGTATGTGATAACATCCGGAACACCACCAGACATTACCACAATTTGCAAGACCTTTGCTGCTTTCTCAACCTGGTTTTGTTTAATGAGACCGCGTATCAAATTAATACAAGAAGGGAAGTAAGGAATTTGACTTTGACGGGCCATGACCTCTACCAACCTAGTTGCTTCAAATAGCTTTCCAAAGCTGCAGTATTTTTGAAGAATATAATTGTTTTTAAGCTCACTGTTCTCAACAAAGGGTCCTTCTAACAATGAATCAGGCTTCTTTAAACTAATTTGTCTAGAATTCTTCTGTGCACCAGTTGTATGTCTCTGTTGTCTAATCTCATCGACATCATTAATGCAGACATTAGCATTACCATGCAGAGCTCGGCTGTTTAACCGGAAGTTATCTCTCCTAGAACAAAATCTAGGACTTCGTAACCAAAATTGACATGCATGGCTATATTTTAATAGAGAAGCTAATTCGGACTGACATGGTTTCACATTAGCACAATGGACAAAACCAGAAGTAGTGTCCTTTCTGTTATGAAATAAATCCACTCTTTGTAAACAAGGAATCTCGACTGTAGAGTGCTGAGAAGTAGCTGCAAGCACCATCCTTACCTTCAGTACTCAACGGGGTTGCTGACATTCATTCTATAGAAGCACTCTGTCTCATGATAAATTCCAGTATCCCTATCAATAGATAATAGTGTTCTCCAATTCTCCAGCAACCCTCAACTCTTGAAACCTGCAACAAGAAAGGTCATGAACACAGGACCTAAAATTTTAGAACTCAAAGAACATACTCCGTATCAAACTTTAAAATACAAATTAAGGATAGTATTTGATAATTCTTTTAAAATAATCCCATCAATGTCGAAATAAGAAAACTCAAGCATACACAAAGCAAGTACATGGAAAGTAAGGATACATGACCAATTTGTAGATTAATTAATTAGATATACAAACTCAAGAAGTCAAGTGTGCAGCATAAACTATTCCACTCCCCTCCCCTCTCCAAAAAAATTTTAAAAAAATAATAATAAAAAATCCTCATGACTCAGTAATCAGTGATTACTTTTTCACATCAAAAAAATACCATAGATTAGTTCCATCCTACTAAATGCCCAACGACAGGTGATGCCAATGGGCTACCTTCTAATAAGTTTCACTACTCACTCTCAAGATGAGCCCTCAACACTTCTTTTTCCTCTGAAATTTTTACATTAAAGTGGTTATAATAAAGTCAAGCAAATTTCAGCATGTATACTTTACACAAACACCATTCAGTATACGTGTTATTCATCACCATCAAGAGGTCTCCTAAGCAAACTACTCAAAATAAACCACTTGGCATTGCCTGTTTGCCACACCTTTCTAGGGGTCTACCAAGACATCTCTACCACATATTATTCATTCACAACCAAGAAGATCACCAATAACACGAATACCCAAAATCAAGATTACCTAATAACATCCACACAGTTACACGGTAATAGACTTATATAATCCAACTTCATTTCAAATTACAATAAATCATACGATAAAACTTACTACTCCACCATGGTTGATGCCAAATACGAAATATAATTACAACTAATAAGAGTAGCCCTAGAAAGTAGGCGTGCGTGTGTCATGACATAAAATTGTACTTCAGATTCACATTGAACAGTTGAACTAGTGTATTCACAACGAAAATTAACATCGCCGTTAATATGTGAAAACAACATAGTTTGCATCATGGCAGCATATAGGCCATCCAAGTTCCACATAAGACAATAAACTTACGAAGAGACATCAAAATAACCTTCATTCACACAAATTGAAAGCAAATAAACTTCCAACTATCCAAAAAAAAACCTACAAAATCATCTAAACACACAAAGCTAATAATATAACATTCGACGGTAAATGCTATATATTCAAGTTCCAAACTATCCAACTTTTGCTAAGAAATTATCAAGATAGTTTTTCTAAAATAGAAAACACACCCAACTGTTTTTTTTTTCTCCCTCCAATCCAATACCTAAAACAACAAAACATTATAATGCAAAAATTATCATATACTTAACGAAACTAACAACAAAACATTAAACTTCACTATACAATACCAAGGTTATAGTAATTAAATTTACATGTGTGAAAATGGGTGTTGAAGGACTAATAATTTTCCCAAATACGAAGTAATTTAGAGTAAAATGAAGAGCTCTCTCCATTTCTGTTGTGAAGAAAACAACGGTGCGAAGGTGGTAAGAGAAGAAAAAGAAAGGAATTGTGGTGGCTTACCGGAAAGTAGCAGCGGTTGACGGTGACGGTTGCAGCGAGCTGCACAAGAACCAAACGGTGGGAAACTGGGAGTACAATTAAGTAGAGACTTGAAAGACGAAAACAAAGAATTCGGGGGAAGTTTTGTCAATTTGTTTAGAGAAAATTCAAGTTTCTCTTCTTGATAAACAAAATTAGTTTATCTATTTTGGTAAATAAATTAACAATTTTTTTATTAATGTGGGCTCCCTTTCTCATAACTGGGGCAAATTTTTGGTGAAGTAAAATTATTAATTTATTCACTAACTTTTATACGTAATATGTGACTTGCCACACGGTGTAACCAATCATCATGAGGTTATTTCTTTAGTGTTATAGGGGGTGGTCAGCTTTATAAAGGTTACTTCGATCGTGTTATAAGGGTTACTCAGTGAGTGTTTTAAGGGTTACTTGATCAATATTATAGGGTTACTTAGTCAGTGTTATAAAAGTTATTTTGTTCTTTTACAAGCGGCCACATGCATATGGTGTGACTAGCCGCACACAAAAATTTGGTGACGTGACGATTGATTTTTTTCTTTATTCTAAAATAAAAACGTGAAAGCTCCCAAAAATGCCTCATTTATTTATATACTTCCTCTGTGTTTAAATAAATGAAACATTTTCCTTTTGCATGCATGCCAATACAATACTTTGACTAATAATATCTTTAATTATCAATAAGTAAAAATTATAACAATTGAATATTAATAAACTATTTATCAAGACGATTCCAACAAATAATCACAAGACTATATCTATTTTTATGTATAAATCACAAACATTAATCAAAATGAATTAGATGAATAGTGTAAAAAGTCAAAATGTTTCATTTATTTAAACACGGAGGGAGAACTTTGTATATATTAGAAAGAAACAAATTTCGTTTCTCACGAGGGCACTTTTGTAAATATTTTGCATTGAAAACTGTATTGCCGACTTTTTAATGATATTTCTACTGTTTGTTGTTTATCCCAAAAATCGTCTAAGAAGACAAACCTTGGTTGGGACTTTGTTATGCGACTAGATTAAGGGTGTGTTCTATTCACCTCATTTTTACTTATTTGAACCTATTACACCTTACTAACACTAATTAAAACTTATTTGACTTTATTTGATCTTATTAGACCTTATTAACACTTAACCTTATTAGACATTATTTGTCATTCTTGAAAAATATTGTATAACATATTGGTAATATGAGTATATAACAATATATTAAAATTAAAGCAGTAATATATGAAAATATTAGCATTTTTATTATTTCAAATTTATTTTTTTTTTTTTTAAAAAAAAAAACAAAAAAGAGAAGCAATCAAAAGTGTACGTAGCAATAACACCAAATAAAATTCTAATCTTCTAAAAGTATGCTTCATCATCATCATCCGTCATCACTTTCTTCTTCTGTATCATCCTCTACAACACCTCCGACCGACTCCCATATATCTTTTGTTATTTTTGTCCGAATACGGTTCATATTTTTTTTTCCTTTGTTTATCATACATATTATAATCTACTCTAGTCTATCTCTCCATTATTTCTTCAACCTCTTAAAATATTGGTATCCCTAATTCGTATAGACGGATGAAATTGTGAAGCATAAATGTTGCAACAATGATAGACAATTGAAATGCTTCATCCATCAGTGGCATCATCTTTAAGATCTTCCATTTTTTCTTTGATACGCCGAAACATATTTCAGGAGTATGTAAAGAGGAATGTCGATAATTATAATGCTCTAAGTTTCCAATGGGTGGACCCCTTTCTTCAAAATCTGGCATATTATACCTCAAGTCTTTGCCAAGATGAAGACTTAGATATCCAAGAGTATTTGGATATGCTGAGTCAACTAAAAAGTATTTTTATATTCATTCAGAAGAAAATATTAGTATACACTAAAAATAAGGTAGCATATTTATCTAAGTAACAACAATTTTAAACTTAAAAAAGTACCTGAAGGTGGATGGGGGAATTTCTTGGTAACATCACCTAAACAATGTGTCCAAACTATTGTGTCATGTGCACTTTCTTTGAAGCCCACATAAAGAAAAGTAAATAACATGTTAAACGAACACGCAACCATGACATTCCATGTTTTGTTTGCTTTACGTCCTCTATATGGCCTTACCACCAACATCATCAACAATTGCTTCTATATGGGTACCATCTAAAGCTCCAACACAATCGTAAGAATGAATATTTTTTTTTAATATTTGAACGATAAAAATGTAGCATGCTAAGATAAACATTCTCACTAATTAAATACATTAGAATTGTTACCTTGAAAATTGGCCAATATGATGAATTGTTTTTAATTTCTAGTGGCGTTTCATTGAAACTCTGATATGGTCGAATAATATCACAAGATAATGAAACCAAAGCTTTCAACACTGCTCTAAAGTAGATAGAAATGGTTGATATCGAATGTTGGAATCTTTCCCCAGCATCACGATTGAATCAGCTTTAGCCATCATGAATAGACATATACCGACTTTCTCTTTCACGTGTATAAATCGACCATCAGATAATAGTTCTTTTCCTCTTAATACATCAACAAGGTTTATAAAGATATATCTATCAACCCTTAGTTGATCTTTGCACAAGTTAGGATGTCCAGTCAATAACTTATGTATCCATTCACTTCCAAGTTCACCCCCTACACGTAGAGGCACAAATTAGGATGTCCAATCAATAACTTATGTATCCACTCACTTCCATTTAGAATGGGAGTAGGAATCATTAAGAGTAAAAAAGGAAAATCAAGCTAGGAGGGTTTTGAGAGAGAGTATAAATACCCATCTTATGAGCAAATTAAAGTTTGCCCAAGGTGGAGAATACCCAAAGGTAAACTCTCTTTCTCTCTCCTCTTATTTTTCTTTCCCCTTAAATTTTCCCCCTTTCCCTTCACTCACCTCACACGCACACCACCACCACCACAGCCGGTCGACGCCAGCACGGAGCAGCAGCAGCAACAGCCGCGAGAGGTGGCGCACCGGCCACTCTCCCCTCCCTCTTGCGTGCGTGTGTTTGTGTTATAAAAAAAACTTCTTCTTTGTTTTAGATCAATCTAGCTTTGATTAATTATTGTTTTTTAGTGTGTGTGATGATTTTATAATGTTTTAATAATGATTAATATGTAAATAATTTTCAGATTTGGTTTTTGAATTAAAAAGCCCCAAATTGAAAACCCTGAGTTTCTAAATTAATGCTTATTGATGGAATTTGATTGTAGTTGATTAAAACTATTGAAAGTAATGTTTTTAAATTAAATTACTGCAAGTTTAAGAGTTTTTATAATGCTGGAATTTTAATGTAGAGGCTAGAATTATTTTCTTTGAAAGGATTTTTAATTACCCATTAATTGGGAATGAAAGTAGGCGGTTTAAATTAATTTTCAGCATGTTTTAGAAGGTTTAAAAGTGATTTAAAGAGTATATATATTGCTGGAAATTTATTATGAATGAGTATTAATGTCTCTTTGTAATTTTGGGTTGTAGGAGACTTCCAAGTGAGTGATTTTGTGTAGTCATGGCGATTTTGAGATCATATTCGAGGTACGTTCGCGTATTCGATAATTATTTAAGTGTGTAGAAGCATGCTAGACTTTTTTTAATTAATTCCAAGGTAGTATCATGATAGTTATTGATTGGAATTGTTGATTGGATTGATTTTGGTGATTGATTTGTGAATTATAAATTATTTGAGGTGAATTATTGATTGGAATTAATTATGTTGGCATGTTGATTATGAACCACAATTTTATTATTGGCATGATTGAGAGCATGTTTAATTAAACTAAATGTTTAATTGAGTTTGGAATATTAAAAGAGAATTTTATTATGGTTCATATAATTTTTATTGATGCTATAAGCATGGAAAGGGGCTATTTAAGTGTCTATGTACACGAGAATTAATTTATATTTTGGTGCCTAAGTGCACTTAAGGTGTTCTAAACACCGAGAGATAGGATTTGTGGTGCATTATGCGCTTAAGGTGTTATTTAACGCCGAGGTAGTTTAAAAAAGGGTTCAACATTAAATTAAATGTGGTCACTAATTATTTAAGAATTAAATTGGTATGTGTGATTGCTTGAATGATTTAAGATGATTGATTGTGTTGTGGATTGAGAGTCATCACCAAGTTTAAAATATGTAAAAAACGTAAAGTGAAAAAGATTACGCACCAAAACTCTTGGAACGTATATACCTCGAGTATGAACATATGGGGGGAATTATGGGGTTTTATATTTAACCATAACTTCTACTGGGAGTACAGGACGCTATATTTTCCTTTTTATTCTTATGCGCAGGAATTTCGCCACTTACGAGTGGTTTTTTTATACTAGCATGGTTAGCTCCCGTGTTAATACCCCTTTATTTGGGCAGGTTAGGGGGGAAACCCGTTCGATGCGTAATCAAATTAACTAAGCAATTTATTTATTTATTGGTTGGTTGTGTTGTATGTTGTATGCTTGTGAACAGGTGCATAAAGGTAAGATGTGTGATAATAGGATGAAAGCATGTTAGTGTGTACTGTTTACGCTTGTGTACTCTTGCTAATTGTGTGTATGGTATGTTTGTTCGCCTTGTCTTTATCTTGGCTCCACGACGACCCATTTCTAATGGCGGGTAGTGGGGACAAAATAAAGAGAAGCTTTTTAGATGATGAAGCATATTCATGATGGACATAAGTGAAGAGCGAATCCTATTTAGTTTCCATAAGAATATGATGTGTTTTATTTGTTTTAATTTGATTCTTATATATATTTGCTTGTGAGACTAATGCAAAGTTTTTATTATTCGTTTGGGTTTTGAAAAGGGCCTACAATGGTTCCAAGTTGTAGGTTGACTTTATTTAACTTCGTTGACTTTGATTTGACTTTACTTTCGTTTGGTTTGACTTTTAAAGTTGACTTGTTTTGAATGGTTTAAAGAGAGTCTTCCGCTGTGTGTCTTTGATAATTGCCTTAGCCGTTTTCATGGTGGCAGTAATGTCTTAGAATTTCCTATTTCGTAATTTAAAAAGGGCAAAACAAGTATTTTAAAGAGAAGGAATTTATAGGGTGTTAAACTTACATATATAGGTGTTATTAAGAGCAAAAA